TTCTCTTCTCTTCTCTTCTTTTCTATTTTCTTCACTCCTTTTCATTTTTCTACCCTTCTTTTAACTACTCCTCTTTCCTTGAAATAATCAATTATCATTCCCAAAATTTTTACATAAAAATAGAAACAAAAACATACGTAATAAAATAGTATAAAATCTTACCATTTTCCACGTTTGTGAACAAGCCTTCATTCAGACATTCTGTCCTTAAGATATCCGCAACAGCATACGAAGCAACATTCATTCCCAATAGAAACAGTATTGGCAAGCAACGAATTCGTGACATAATCGCATCTGTTTACTCAACACTGTTTGTAATAGTTTTATTYGTTAAAAGCCATTGCATCCCGTAGTGGTCATCTAAAACAATTGCACAAATTCTTGCCGTTAGGACCCTTGAAATCATTACGAGTCTAAATATTATTGAGGAATTTGATAAACTAAAATAACAAAATAGTAGCATTGTAGAACCGCTGTTTTTCAAATGTACGAATATGATTTAATGGACTAATATGTTTAGTTTTAACTAAACATAATCAATTTCTCTATAGGATCCCAGTCATATTTATCTCCACCACCCAGTCATTTTTATCTAGTGTAAACAAACTCGCACCTACCTCAGTTCACCTGAACAAGAAACGAAGAAACCTGAATTCTGATATAAACCCAAGTTGTTTGAAGACCCCCGCAACACCTGCCTTCACTGTACTGGAGCTTTCGAGAGCAGTGGTGTGTTGATTTACATTGCTAATGTGCAAGGTCATTGACTCTCACTTAACACATCATSGCTTTAAGAGGCTGTCTCTGTAAGAACCTCATAATCATTTTGAGTGAAAAAAACATATTTCTTTCAAACTTTGTGTGTAAGTGTGCCCTTCCAAGGTTATTTCCAAAACACATTTTGTTTTGTGTCTCGGCGCTTTTTTGCAAAGTTTCAGGGGGGGTCCCCTTGGAGGCCAAATTAGTGATTTTGACTACTTCTCATTCATGAAATTTGGGCGATGTTTAAAAATTCGTAAATCCATAACAAATCATCACAACACTAAATCCTTCCATATTATAGTAGATATATATCTTATGCAAAGATGAGTAGCTTTAAAGTTAAATATAAAATTATTTATATCTAGATATTTCAATTTTACCGACCATCGATAATCGTCCTTGGCCAGTTGGCTAAAATATGGCTTAGGAAAAAAAATCAAAACTCAAAAGTTAGACTTCGTAGGACTATAATATTTGAGTATTGCAGAGATAAAAGGTAGTTCTTACAGAAATTAAAATAATATTTTGCGGCCAGCAGGTTTTGAGAAGTGAACAGGTCGACAAACTTTCAGTATTTTTGAGATTTAACGTATTACGTCAAAAAGGTGCAAATAGTTTTGAATGCGGTTTATCTTTAAATGTATATAAATTCACTGTTTAAACTGATCTAATATATTTTATAAACATTTTAACCACACAAATAGTAAAAAACGGTTTTAGAAAACAGTATTGGAATCAAAAGACTGATTTCACGACATGCCTTAACTGTAAGGCAAAATGCTGTATACTGTCATAAAATACAACGATAAGATCACTCAAAATAAATAACTGTAAATTATTTGCACGATGCACAAACATCAATCGATGAACAAATCACAAGATTATTTGTTCATATTTTGCCTACAACCAAAAAGAAATCCAAAAAATGTAGATAAACATGCCTCTGAAAACGATTCATCATCTGCAGTTCGATACAACTGTCATGTTGATACATTTAGGCCCAGAAGTACCCGGAAGTCTAATGCTTGATTCGTTGATTTATATTGATTTAATATAATTTAGTTAAGTAAAATCATGTATATATTTTTATGGGATTTTCAGATTTTATATGTAAATTATCATATTGTTATTTATCATTATCGCATATACATTTGCATGTCTCGTATGTTTTTATGAGACAAATAAAGACCAATTAGTATAAGTAATAACACGGTTTCGAGTTCAATTTGGGATTAACTTGCGTATTTCGAAGAGTTAAAATTGCACGAGATCGTAGGTCGGGTGCAATTTCAGCTCTTTGAAAAACACACGAGTGTAAATTATTCTAAATTGAACGAGAAATCGTGTTATTACTTATTAATGACATACGTGAAAAAATTACAAAAGAAAGTTTATTGCAAATTTTTAATATCCAATCAAAAGCAAGAATTCCGTTTGTAATTTGCACTGTATTACACTTTTTTGCACTGTATTACACTTTTTTGCACTGTATTACACTTTTAAGCACTGACTACACTTTTTTGCAGTGTATTACACTTTTTTGCAGTGTATTACACTTTTTTGCAGTGTATTACACTTTTTTGCAGTGTATTACACTTTTTGCAGTGTATTACACTTTTTGCACTGTATTACACTTTTTTGCACTGTATTACACTTTTTTGCACTGTATTACACTTTTTTGCACTGTATTACACTTTTTTGCACTGTATTACACTTTTTTGCACTGTTACACTTTTTTGCGCTGTCATTACACTTTTTCGCACTGTATTACGTTTTATAAAATAACTAAGATATAACCGCGCTCTGATTGGTCAATTACCGTTTTATATACCTCAATATAGATCGTGAGGAAATGACGTCAGCAACGCAAGCAATGTTTTATTATTTCTTTTCAGTTAATGCGTTAGTTATATCTTAGTGATTTTAATGAAGAGATAGAAAACTCATCTTGCTTGTGCTATGTTGAGTTATACAAGCACTTGGGAAATTGCGTAAGCCCTCGAGAATTGCCGAGAAGCATACGGCTCGTGCTTTTCCTAGCACTTCTCTCGGACTCACGCAATTTCGCGCGTGCTTGTATAACTCAACATAGCACGCGCGCTCGTTTTCTATCTCTTCATTAAAATCACCGCTCTAAGCCAATCAGAATTGAGTAATTTTTTCATTTATGTTATTAGTATTATTATAACTACTAACAACCTAACAAAAAAGCCCAGCCTTGGCATAGAATTTACGGCTTTCCAGCAAGCCACAGGCAACCCATAAAARCAGAGTGGTCAAAACAAAGGGTCAGCTTTTGAACTACTTAATTACGTCTCATTTGACATTTTGCATGAAGTTAAAGGAGTAACCCTTCAAAGTGCGACATTCCATTGGCTTTTTTGAAATTGGGTAAAGAAATAAGGCCAGGTAAAAAGAAAGAAACTTAAAACTCCGGTAATTTCTCTCTAAAACTGCTTTTATGAAGTTTAGCATTGAACTGACAATTAAAAAATTAACTCAATTTAGAATATTTAGTCATTATCAAAGGCTTTCATCCGAGTAGTAAAGATAACACAATTCTTTCGATATCTTGGATGTCTGCTTGTCAATGGCGACCTTGATTAATTTTCGTATAGCTTAGACTTATTTTGGTAAGAATTTTCTTGTATTGCTATAAACAAAAAGTTTTGTAGAGTGATTACTTTGGATTTTAGTTTTTTGATGATGTCACGTGCAAACCAAGAATAGTATTTTTTGGCAGTTGTGGTTATGATGCTTATCGAGATTATATAGATTCATTCGTGACTGGAAGAAAGTTCTATTGCATCGTAGGACCTTGGAAACATCAAAATATTCTGCATAAGGGGATTCTGTAGGAAAAATTGCTTTCTTTCTGCTCGTCTATAGGTGATAACGATGCTAAACCAGAAGACCCTTTAATTAATATTCTCATCGCACTCTAGCTTAGTACTCTGCTATGTTTCGTTGCGTCTATAAGCAGTGTGATAATACTATACTGAACAAGAAGACCATGTTTTTAATATACTTCAGAAATGAATTCATTGCATTCTTAGTACTCTGCTATGTTTCGTTTCGTTTACAAATAAGCAATATGATACTACTATACTGAACAAGGAAGTGAACTCAGAAATGAACTCTAAAACACAAATAGAACAACTACTAACGACGGCTGACAGTAACGAGAACTTCAAACCTTGCCGCTATTTTCTCCTTTTCATCTTCTTTCGTTTTTCTCCTTTTCGTCTTCCTTTTTAATTCGTTTTCCCGTCTCTATCACTTAACTTTCACATCTTATTATTATTATTCACAAATCTTTGTATTCAGCTTGTGCTCGGATTTCTTTGAATCAGTAGTTTGCTTCTTTAATTTTCAAAGCGTTTCGTGCCCTTTAAATAGATTTTCTTTCTAGTTTTAGAGGTATGTTACTACGGTTATCTACCACGAAGCAGTTATATAAAACGTCATTTTACGAGGCATTTTACGAGGGATTTTCTAAAACATCTTGCTTTTACTTACTTATAACTTTCTTTCCTAATCGAAATCAAAAACTCGGCATCCCATACAATAGTATCTTGAAAATGATACGAAAATCCACACCGAATTCAAGTCTTTCTATTCTTAACTTTGGCATTGTTTCGGAATAGCAGACCTTTATCAAGAACGGGTGTAAAATTAAAGAAGCGGCTTTGACGTCTCAGAAAAGGCGCTTTTGTTTAGGATTTGCTGACGTACATCTCTGATTAAAGTCATCTAAATCTTTCTTGCTAATAATGTGCACAATAAGAAAGAATATTCGCTCAGCACATTATTTATTTCTAAAAGATTTCAAGACGAAGAGATTTCTCATGAGACAGCTATTTCTTACAAATCATCTTGAGATAAATTTTTCTTTTAAATAGAAAAAATGTTGATGGGCGAATGTGATATCCAGCTAAGTTGAGTGTAAGAAGCTCAACGGGAAATAATTTTTTTTCTTCTGAATTCTCACGGAAATCTAGCATTGATAACCTAGTACTCCATAACTACTTAAGGTCTCCTAAGGTGTTGGTTTTATTCGTTAAAATCACTAAGAACAACCATGGTATCATAATATATCAGGAAAGGTACGTTTTTTATTGTGGAAGGGCTGGGGCTTTTTAGGGAAGGATCATCAGTAAAAACTGTTAACTTTTGTAGAAGGTCAAACCTTTTTATTTTGACCAAAGTTTTCGTTGTTGACTTAATAAAAGGTTCATGAATTTCTTACTGAATATAATGGGGAGGGCTACAATTATTTTAATAACATTTACTGCACATTCCACAGCGCTCCCCCCAATAAAACAAAAACGTACCTTCCCTTACTTTGAGCGAATACGAAAAAAACGGAAAGTTTACATTTCTAAAGATGTAACGCCCATTTACCATTCATCTTTACGTTTTAGTTCTTATTTGTTTATTCGTGCATCAGGTTTTTGAACAAAATGGGTCACCATTAAAGATAYTTCGCTGCAGGTCCAGCTACTTTAAGTATTAGCACATGCGATACCTGTTGGATTGACACTAAGCTGCACAAGTAACAACACATAAACTATTAATAAGTTCAAGATCTTGTTTGCTTAAAGTACCGGACTTTGTGGTCCACCCTATGTCATACTAAACCGAGACGTTATTCGCCTGACAGTTTTTTAGGGACATTTTACACTATCTTCTCATTTGACAATGTATTTAATTAATGAAATAAAGATCTTGAGAGAAAGGGAGAGAGTTTATTTTGAAATAGAGAACGCTGTGAACTAACATTGACTAGGCGTAGTTTTCGTGTTTGGTTTACAATCGCCCTAGCTTTCTTTCTGTGGTTGGTTGTGGGCGTTTGAGACTGATTAATAGTAATTGGCATTTGATTATGTTTTGAGGGTTTAACCAGTCGGTACAAATTGACTGAAATTACTATGATGACCACAGGAGTTTCATCCGACGTTAGCAATCATCCACTAATATTAAAATTTAAACCGTTAATTGAGGCATTGTAAAAAAAAGATAGTTTATTTTGCCCTGGCTGAAAATGCCAGTATTAATTTTGAAAACAGCCTCGTACCTCTCCAGACAACAATACCTTAACAAACCTAGACTTTTTCTAATGTATATATTAGGTGCTTATAGGTTACTCAGTGACAATTTGAAGCACTCCGGCCAAGATGATTAAGATTAACACTGTAAATTAAAACAGAAGCAAGTGACAGCTGGTCGTAGCCAAGCTTCTTAACAACCACAGATGTGTCTGTAAAAATTACTAATGACAAAAGAAAGTATTATCACAGAGAAAAGTCATACAAAAAAGTCCTTTAACTGTGTTAACTTTTTCAACGAAAGCTGTCAAGTGCCAGGCCAACTACAAATGCGGCGTAGTCCATATTTTTTTTATCGAAAAGTCAAAAAGCACATATAAGTGTAGTGAGCCCCAATTACCGACTATTATTTTCTTACAGGTGTAATAGACAATAGTTATTGTTAACCACTCATGCGTTCGATTGCTAAACAATACTATCGACACTTGTTATTTGTGCGGGTTGAATGGCTATTGGCCCCGAAACCCCACCGCACTTGAGCCAACTACAATACCAAGACGCGTGTATTTAGTACAAACAACACAGTTGAGTTGTGATGCACGTGTGAGTTAAGTGAGCTCTATTCTGCAGCCTGAGAGACATTTCACTAAGGCAAAGCACAGTCAAGTACGATAGGGTAAGAGGTGCAGCGACATATTACCCTTGTCCTAACCCAGTGCATTAAATAGACAGAACTGAGTGAACAGAAACCACTACRAAGTTCACTAGTGACGCGCAGTTTACAAATTCCTACGATTACACTTTTAACTACACTTCTCTGTACCAASACTATCAGAGCACAATGCCAAAGTCTTTTCTTTTAAAACGACGTTCCAATAACGGCTCAGATATCCAAGAAACAAACACGACAGAGTTAGTTAAAAAAGGTAAGCGCTCAAAATACTTGTATTGACTAATTTAGTAATCTTTGCTTGCGGATGCAGGCTTTCATCTAGAAAGATAATCGGCTCTAATACATTAACAAAAAACTTGACTTAACCGCGGAAAATAGACGTCTACAACAACAAGAAAACTACCTGCTTTCATTCGCGTGTTCATAACACAAAGAGGAAAAAAGGCCATAAATGCCTATCTTCAAAATATAGAAGTAATTTGCTCAAATTGTGATAATAAATATTTATTTTCTGTGTCGAATCTCAGTCTTTAAGGAAATCAACGCCCCATAAATCATACCTATAGTTTTGGTCATTGGTTATCTTTTTTGAAATTTAATAGCAACCGCTAATGGCTTTTCTTTCTTTTACAGCCAAAAGCACATCAGAAATCAGGCAGCAGTTTATTTTCCCGACTTCACTGCAGTATCATGAACAAGGGTCGCTCTTACAGTTTCGCCCCTATTCAAGTGCTTTTGAGGCTTATCGCCGTGATTTGAACCGCGATTTTCTTTTCCATTCAGCGCTACAAGAGATGCGCTGTTCTTACCCCGTACCCATCTTTCATAACCGACCTTTATTACTTCAAAATTCGTTACAAGATCCCATAGAAGGAAATTATCGAAACTATGAGCTTATTCCAAAGCAAGAGAATGCAGTCTATCCGATTTTCCAAGACCAAGATCCGAATGAAAAATTGGAAGGGAAGATTGCCAAGAAAAGAGAAGACTTTTTCACAGCGTTAAACCTCGATGATGTTGACTTCAAAGAAGAACCCTTGGCGTGCAAACAATGCGGGAAGACCTTCAAGACGAAGTACACCCTGGCAATTCATATGAGAATGCCTTCACATACTGGAACAAGGCCTTTCGTTTGTGGTATTTGTGGCAAAGGATTTCGCTTGTCGAGCACCCTTTGCCGGCACAAAATCATCCATACTTCCGAACGCCCTCACAAATGCCACCTTTGTGACAAAGCGTTTAATCGATCATCCACCTTAAAAACTCATATTCGTACACACAGTGAGTCTAAAGAGTACGTCTGCGAGACATGTGGCAAGGGGTTCCACCAAAAAGGCAATTTAAAAAATCACATCTTAATTCATACTGGCGAGAAGCCGTATAAGTGTCGACTCTGTGAGAAAGCCTTCAACAAACTCTCAAACCTAAAGTTCCACATGCATGTCCATACCGATAATTCACCTTACCGCTGCAGGTTCTGCAAAGTGAGTTTTACCCGTCGCTGCGACCTGAAATTTCACATTGCAAACGTTCACAATGAAACTGAAGAAGAAATAAACAAGTAAAACCCGAAGAAAGTCTCATAAAAGCTGATGACATTTCTCTTAGAAAACCGCTTTCTGTACATAGAAAATTATATACATCACAGTACTCCTAAATGTGTTAAACTTTCAACGGAACTGCGGTCAGAATAATAATCATAGAAGTAGTGTTATTTGTTGATTTTTGATAGTAGGAAAATAAACTGGTACTTGAACGTACAGTGAAGTAGTGTACAGATATTAAGGTAAAGATACTGTAAAGGTTTACTATAAATTTATTCAGTGTTATTTATTGATTTTTGATAGTAGGAAAATAAGGTGGTACTTGAATGTACAGTGAAGTAGTGTACAGATATTAAGGTAAAGATACTGTAAAGATTTACTATAAATTTATTCAGTGTTATTTGTTGATTTTTGATAGTAGGAAAATAAGGTGGTACTTGAATGTACAGTGAAGTAGTGTACAAATGTTAAGATAAAGATACTGTAAAGATTTACTAAATTTATTATAAGATAAGAGCCTGTAAGACGGAATTAAAACTCCTAGAGTGTTAATGATATCGGCGCGCATTCTGTTTTAAGAAGAGATGCAAAGTTATTTCTTTACAACTGTAGATAGATGACGAGAATCCTAACTAATAAATATTCAGTTAAAAATTACTAACTAAAATATATCATATCAGGTAAAAAAGTTTCATTTTGATTTATTGTTGAAGCGAAATAAAAGTTAGAAAGCCAGAAACAAAAAAAAGTTTAAGTCAAAAAATTGTACAATATGATATTTTAGTTTGTTTTTACCAAGTTTATTTATTTGCATTGCAATTTTTTGCTGTTTTTCGTCCTGGTAGTATAGTTTATTTAAGATTTCTTAATGGACCGGACATTTGAAGAGTGTGCTAAACGGTTATAATGAATTGTAGCTGGGCCACCTAACTGTCAAAACGAACACTTGTTAATAAAGAGCTTTCATACTCTAGACAATGGTATTCTCTCTTTATTCAAGAGAATTGTGTGTTTTTGTATAGAAGGTAAATACCTAACGTTTTGTTAAGAACCGAAGATGTGTTGGTTGCGCGGGGCGTTAATAGAACACTAACGGCTATTAGGGACCGTAACGTACTGAAACTAGAAAAATACTGAGCAGAAAAGAGCAAAACTGAATAACCTTTAGGAACAAACACCAGTAAAATGTGTTTCCAGTGATAGAAGTTATTCAAATTAATAATTTAACGTTAAGAATTACAAGAGTGACAGATTTTCGGGTTGTAGATCCCATTGAGTAATTAGTACTTATGGAAGGCGATTATAATTCAGTCGCGTGCTAGGAGATTAAACTGTCGAATTATCGGTCCAAATCTGACAACCACAGAATGATGTCCATCCTTATGTGAAGTTGAGCACCTGCTTTTGTGTACGTTGAAAATATCAGACAGCATGTGGTAAACGCGTCCAATAATGGAGGGAAAATGCATCTCGCGTTGAAATATTTTCGCACCCCAGGAATTGTAATCGCTGTACCTTTTCAGTTGTTTTAGACACAAATTTCAGCCAATCAGAATCCAGTTTATTTTTCAAAAAATATTAAACTGCCTGAATTGAGAACAAAGAGAGTTATTTTTATAAGCTCAGTTTTTAAATTTTCTACTTTTTTCCTAAACAAAACTTCCTAAACTTTTGTTAGAATTCAATTTTTTATATTTTTAGTTTCATTCAGAATCCAAAAGCGCCCGAGGTCATCTCTAAGTGTAAGCTTTATTCATCAGTTCGTTATGTTTCAGAGTTGCAATTGTTAGTAACCACTTTCTAAGGCTAGTGTTAATTGGTGAATGGAGATACAACTGTCAATGACTCTGAATTGGCATTTTATTTTTAATTATTAATGTGTTCAACTGAAAGTTTTGCTAACGGAATTGTGAAGTTTGCTCATCAGTTAATTGCTGTTCCATGTTATCTTACCAGTACATAATTCAAGCAGGTCTTGCCATCAACTTCCTATAAATCTCACTAACTTCCTGACCAATTTCTCTTGCTTTGCCGGAAGTAATTTGTTAGAATTCAGATACACTAAACAAATAAGTGAAATAGAATATTATGAATGCTCTTTCTTTTAGGTTAGTTATATACAAATGGCAGTTATAGAGACCCGACTGCCCACTCATCGTCAGTATTGTTTTATCCTCGTGATGCTCTTGTAARCTACGTAGGCGTACTAAGGTTCTTTTGGTCTTCAGCCAATTTTAGTTATACTTTGAGCTAGTAATGACTGAACAGATGGAAATGCAAAATTTTACATTGTACGATTAGTTTTTCAATATAAAAGTGCGTTAGTTAATCAGCTCAATGATCATAGCATTTATTCATTTTGGAAAGTAAAATAGGTATAATATTCTTCCCGATTTCCGTATTTAGTTGTTAATCTGTTTTTGATTGACCATATATCCGGTCGGCTGTTTTTCCATAAGTTTTACCACTTGCGTTTTCTTCTCAGTAAAATATTTGTCCGGCCTCTTGTCTCAGTTGTGAATATATTTTTAGCCCTTCTGTATTCCGATCCGACTCAGTTTTTCAGCTGTCTTCTCCTTTTACTTCTTTTTTCCATCCTACTTTTCCCGTTTTATTTCTAAGGGAATCAAGGGTGGTGTAGCTGTAATACAGTCGAGTCCTATACCCCATTCACACCTAAACGTGTTTAGTTAAACTATGTTTTCATTAGGAAAAAAATTGAGAAACTAGAAACCTACAATATAATGAAACTTTCTAAAATATTGTCAGAGCATGAGACAAAGGATAGTTTGCATGCATTATTTCACCAAAGATTGTGCAGTGTTCGTAGATAGTTTTCCAAACCTGTTTAGTTAAACCACTTTAAAACATGTTTAAGCCTTGGTGTGAATGGGGTACTAGACTCGGCATCACATGTGAGTAGAGTTTGTTAGGTCTTCCTCTTGATGCGAAAGTTTTTCTTAGGTTTTCCTCTCTCCACAAAACATAACCAGCTATATTCCAATTCGATCTGTGAATTAGCCTTGCCTAACTTTGTACCGCACAGAGGCTGTCACAGGATATCGAATAAAAAGGTTCTCTTTAGTTTTGCGAGTACTCACTATTACTGTTTATCATTGTTGTATATCATGGAGTCATAAATGGAATTCAAGGTGGCTGCCATCAAAATCGCTTTGATTTCTAAATTTTCAATTCTTCATATTATCCCAAAAAGTAGGAGAAATATATAAAAAATTATTTGTATTGTATTATTTATTTAGTAATTTCGTCCTCAAATCCAAATAGAATGAAGTATGCCTTTTTTGTGGATCTCATTTTAGCTTGGAAATCTTGAAACTTCAAGCAAAGTCTAAAAAATAACTATACCCTCTCAGTTTAATAGAATTTTAAGATAAAAAAGGGTTATAGAAAATAGACCCATAAAAAAAATGGGTTTTCAGTTGATTAACTTGCTTGAAAAAGTATAATACTCTGAAAAGCTTTACAAGCCAAAACATTGACTTTAATTTTGAAAAAATGATTTCAATAACCTTTATTTGCATAATTAAATGCTTTTAAACTTTGGACACATAACGAGTATAGATAGTATCTGTACGAACTCGAAAGCCGTTGTCGCTTGTTTTGGCTTGGCAATTCACTTTATCAAAACAAATATGATAGGTTATTGAATACGTGGCAATTTGACTTTAAAAACATCATTCATCGAATAAGCTGGTCATTCTTGTGTCGGAACTCTATTTTAAAGATTGAATCAAATTGCTTCCGAATTGATTTGACTTTGGGTATTTTAACTTTCTCTAAGGAAATACTATCCACTGAGTTGACTCAGACTATCCATTGAGCATTATTCACTGTTTTGATGCTTGATCGATTATCCCTTTTCTTTTCTTCCTCTTCCTTTTGTTCCTCTTTTTCCTCTTGTTCCACTTCTTCTTCCTCTTCTTTTCCTTCTTATCTTTCACCATGCTAGCGCTTTAAATATCTAACAAAGTTTTCAATTTTGTGGCTGTAGTAATTTGTTATTACTAATTTTGAAATGATACCCAATTAAATACCAATTATTATTTTTACTCTATAGGCAATTATTACTTATTGAATATTTATAACCAAACTGTATGGAAACTTGCGCTTTACGATGTTTTTAATTATCGAAACTCTTATTAGGTCTCAGTACTGAAAATTTTTTTTAAAAAACCTTTACGTTTACTTATTACTTCTGCTTACTGATTGTGACAGGACTGAAGCATGTTTAGGTTTTTTGAATCGTTTCAGTTTTCGCTAATTTGGTGCCCATATTCAGTATTAGATTTACCATAAAAATTTTAGATAATTTCCTAAATGTTTTGGTTTTTCCCTTTACAAAGCTTGGTGAGAAGATAGTCAACTCATATTAGGTTTTCCATTACAATTTGTACTATAAGTATCTCGTTGATTAAAGATATATTATCAAGCTATTCTTGACATTTCGTGACCAACACACTGACGTACTTGAATACGTGTGCAAAAACTTATTAAAAAGTGATAAGTACAAGGTCTGCCCACTGGACAAGTTTTTTAAAAAGATAAAATTATATAACGCAAAGCAACTTTAGAGTGACAGTCTTCTGTGAGACAAACCAATCAGATTGCGAGTTTCATAATAGCGGATTACTATTTGAGGATACTAACGGTAGTAGGTGCCTGGAGAACCAATCAGATTGCGAGTTTCACGATAGTCAGTCGATTACTATTTGAGGATACTAACGGTAGTAGGTGCCTGGAGAGCCAATCAAATTGAGAGTTTCACGATAAGTCAGTTGATCACTATGGGAGGATACTAACGGTAGTAGGTGCCTGGAGAACCAATCAGATTGCGTGTTTCACGATAGTCAGTCGATTACTATTTGAGGATAATAACTGTGGTAGGTGCTTGGAGAACCAATCAGATTGAGAGTTTCACGATAAGTCAGTTGATCACTATGGGAGGATACTAACGGTAGTAGGTGCCTGGAGCCAATCAGATTGAGAGTTTCACGATAGTCAGTTGATCACTATGGGAGGATACTAACGGTAGTAGGTGCCTGGAGAACCAATCAGATCGCGAGTTTCACGATAGTCAGTCGATTACTATGGAAGGATACTAACGGTAGTAGGTGCCTGGAGAACCAATCAGACTGCGAGTTTAACGATAGTCAATCGATTACTATGGGAGGATACTAACGGTAGTAGNGCCTGGAGAACCAATCAGACTGCGAGTTTAACGATAGTCAATCGATTACTATGGGAGGATACTAACGGTAGTAGGTGCCTGGAGAACCAATCAGATTGCGAGGTTCACTATAGTCAGTCGATTACTATGGAGAACCAATCAGATTTATTTTTTAATTCATGCTGGAGAACCAATTAGAATGAATATATATTTTAATTAGTTTCGTCATTATCATCATCATTCATCATCCTAATCATCATCATCATTATTATACTATCATTATAATTTTTACTCTTTTTTTTTGTTTTTGTTACGATACTTTTGCAGTTGAAGGGAAACAAATATTTTTCAAGTAAAATTAAAAACTGAGTGAAATTAATCTTTATTTGGAATAAACTTATACCGAATATGAAGTCCACTCATTTGGGGTGGTTCTTTTTAGTCATGAAAATATATAGAATATTTGATACAGGTAAACATGTTGTAGTTGATTTACAATTAGAAATATCACTTCACTGTCCTATTTTTAACTACATTTTTAACTTTTACAGAGAAGCCTTTAACTAGCATATCATTATTATTTTGCCTAGCTATATTCTTTTTGTAAACAGATCAATTGAGTATTTTATGCCAATTTGCGCTTTTTAAGTATGATCTTCATCCCCATAATTAYTATTATTATTATTATCAGCAGTAAACACGTTTGAATGCTAATTAGGTAAGCTAGATAGGGCGTAATTTCGTAACCTACCAGCATGACAGGATTAATAATATATACAATCACTTAAAACCAATTATTAATGTTCTTAAGATGCAGTTTAAATACTTGGAATGTTTGAAATGTCCTTAAGATGTGATTAATTTGAATGTTCTTGCAATGTTCACTGTTCAGCTTAATACCGCTTTCTGCATTCTGAGTAATACATCTTTGTATCTTGCTCCAAAGATATTCTTCATCTCAGGCTCCATCTCTTTAGACCATCCTCCAAGAGCGTCCAAAATGAGGTTCACTTGCAAGATCGTGTATCCTGGGTGTTGTTTTGTGAGCTCAAGTCTAAGTGCTCCATACTTCTTCGT